CTCCACCGCTATGTCTGGCTGGTTTACGAGCAGGACAGGCCGCTGAAGTGTGATGAGCCCATTCTCAGCAACTGATCTGGAGACCACCGTGGCAAATTCAAGGTGACGTCCTTCCGTAAAAAATACGAGCTAGGGGCCCCTGTGGCCGGCAAGTGTTACCAGGCTGAGTGGGATGGCTACGTGCCCAAACTGTAGGAGCAGCTGTCTGGGAAGTAGAGGGTTAGCTTGGGGACCAGAACAGTCTGTCCTGGAGGCCCCAAGCCATGTTCCCCAGTTCAGCATTGCATGTATAATTGATTTCTCCTCTCCCTTCCCCGCTTTGCACAGGCAAGACCTGAGCAGTCAGATGGCAGTTTAGGGTGACTTTTCCTGCTGCCTGGCCTTTATAATTTTGGTCACTCACTCACTCTGATTTATGTTTTGGTCAAATTTAAATTCCATTTTGGGGGATATTTTGGTACTGTGATGGGGTCATCAAATTGTTAATATGAAAATAGCAACCCAGAATGTAAAGAAGAAAAGAATTGGGGGGAAAAAGACCAGGTTTGCAGTGATAGGGCAAAGCATCAAAGAAACTTTAAGGGAGGTTAAAAAAAAAAAAAAAAAAGGTTGGCTGCCTCTGCCTTTGTGATCCTGAGCCCAGGATGGGACACAGTGGGTTTTTATGGTGATGTCGCTCACCTAGACAGCCAGAAGCTGGCATTGAAGCTTACCTCAAACACGCTGCATCTCAGATGCCTCAATAGGCATCAGCATCTCGCTCTGGTCCCTTTAAAGAGCAGTCCTGGTAAAAGCAGTAGGGCGAGTGGCTTTGCTGTTGTTGGAGCATGGCCATCTCGACCGGCAGCAGTGCTGGCTGACAGCCTAGCAGGAATCCCTATATCTGTGTCTGTTAAATTGATCAGTCTTCATGGGAGCTGGTCTGGAGTTGCTGAACGTCGTGTTAATTCTGCTGTTTGCTTATAGTTGAATAAAAATAGAAAACTGAATGTGCATGTGTCCTTATAGTAGAACGATTTGTAATCCTTTGGATATATACCCAGTAATGGGATTGCTGGGTCAAATAGAAAATTGAGTTTTAGGTGCTTACTGGGCCAGTGAAGAGAGGTGGGTGCCAGAGGTTGGGGCGCCTCAGAGCTGGGTTGTGGATACATATTTGGAAGTTATCAGCCAGTGTGTAAATGCTACTAAAAACTCATGGAAGTAGATGAAGGCTCAGAGCGAGCTTGGGAGCAGGATAAAATACCTAGAACCAATCTAAGGATAATGTTAGCCTTTAAGGAGTGGCAAGAGAGAAGCATGCAAAGGTGCGATTGGAAAATCAGGAGAGTCCAGAGGTGTCAAGAAGGGCCCGAGGCCATCTGTGCCCATGGCTTTGTTCTAGGAGCAGCAACTCTGGAAGCACCACAGCCTATCCCCAGGCTGGAAGTGGAAATAGAGAAAAATGCACAGACTAAGCCAGGAATCTGTGAAAACACACACAGTTTAAAGGAATAATGAATCTATCATTGTAAATGAAGTGTAGAAAAGTGAATAACACCGGGGCTGGGCAGTTCCTCAGGAGGCTGAGGTGGGAGAATCAATGGAGTCCAGGGGTGAGACCTATCAGGTGTCTGAACAAATTATGGCATCAAATGGTGATCTCTCTCAGCAGAGGACCACTAGTTTGCTTAAGGAAGAGTGAACTAGTCCAGCTGCCAAATGAGTCAGGTCAAGACTCCCATGCTGATCAGCAGTGGGATTGTGTCTGTAGCCACTGAATTCCAGCCTGGATAATACAGCGAGAACTTGTCTCTTAAAATAAAAAGGAATAAATTGATAAATAAATAAATGGAAAGAGATGCTACATGGTAGGCATATCATAAGCCATTATAAGCAATGTTCTAGAAAACAAATAGGGTGGTGGAAATACAAATGAAAATACTAAAACTGTCATTATTAACATAAGCTATAAAAGATTATATTTAACATAAGCTATAAAAGATTATATTACTGTCAACAATGAAAATAAAATTACCATACTTGAACAGTTATTCTTCTAAGAAAAAAAAAAGACAATGTAGATGTCCACTTATTCTAAAGAATTACTTTTCGTTAGTTAGTAGTGGTTGTATGTTATCTGTCTGCATGTTTGGGTTCTTTTACTAGTAGTCCCTTATGGCCAACAGCATATATTTACAGAAGTTAACAGTGCCAGCAGATTCCATGACAGCTGCACCGCCCACTGGCCCTTCCTGGAATCAGGCACGGGGCTTTGATCTTCCTGGTACCAACCTCCAGCCCAAGGAACTGGAGTAATATCTCTTCATGAAGGAACATGAAGCTAATGGCAAATTGCCATCAAAGAGCATGTTCCACTTTGAAGGCAGTAAACTGGAAGCTATTTCAGAGTAATGAGAGGAAAAACTAATTTCATAGCATCAAAGGGAAATTCTAAACATCAGATATCTTAGCCATTGAAACAGAGAGCACAGTTACAGATCCCTGAAAACACAGGGATGGAAGGAAATGAACAATAAGAGGAAGAAAAAAAAAGACTGTTGGTAAAGCAACACCATTATATTTAGCCATGTAGAAATGTAAACACCAAAAAACAGAGGCAGAGTTAGGAAATTAACTGGGTTGTACAGGGGTTAAGTAATGAAATGAAAATAACGGTATCTGAGACATTAAATGCTGCACAAATGACAGATGTTATTGCTCTTTCGGAAATTCATATTTTGCAGGGTTAAAGCTGTGACCAGGCAGAGAATGGAAGTGACTGTGTGTAAATGGTATGATATGAACCTCCAGTCCAACCCAAATTGAAGCCACTTAAGACATTACCATCCGGGCTACTCTTTGACTTGTTCTCCAGTTTTGTACAAGAGCATTTTTAAACTTTATTCCATTTTGGCAATAATTTAAAACATTTTTGTGATAATGTAAAGAAGGACTACAAGTACGTTCTAGATCATCAAGTGACAACTGTATAACTGAGTATCACCAAATAATTTCACTGCCTGCTTTTTGTTTGTGTTATATTCATGTAAGCCAAATCCTTTCCACTTTTATAAGAAGGAACAGATGAGAAAAGAGGCTGAGTAGACACAGGCTCCCACCAAGTGAAGATCAAGTGGAGCAACAGCATGGTGTGCAAAAGGTTTCATGAGGATGTTAGTGGAGAAAAACACAGAGAACTAAGAGACTGTGAGAAATCACCACACTGTCCCCAGTACCACTCCTGTTTTCCCATACAGAATGCCATCTCAGCTTCAGAAAAATAGCATCATCTGTTGTTAGTTTGAATTGTACTAGTTTTATGAGATGCCTACCATGTTGCAAACACTTTGCTAAACTCTGGGAATCTAAAGACAGATAGGTTTCAGTGCAGGTCCTCCTCTAAATTCAACTATAAAAGACAGTAACTAAAGTCCACAGTGTCATGGGGAGACACTAAAGGCTTTCCATAAAAATCAGTTCTACTTGCCCAGCTATTTAAAAAGGCACAAAATGTCAACTTCAACATTTCATGCTGACATTGGCTTTTACGGTTTGGCTTTTACAGAATCTCATGCTGACCTTGAATTTCACACAGGGAGTAAAGGCCACTTACTATATGCACATCCATACACTTCGATCCGCATCCCAATCCTGCCCCTGGGGTTCCAGGCTAAAGGGAGAAAGCGCAGGAACCTGGCTTCAAAGGGAGGCTGGAGTCTGTAGTGCACCACACTGTCTGCATTTGTGTTTCCTGGAAAACCCTAGGAGAAAACAGAGAAAGAGACCAATGTATCTGCAGAACGTACCATCTTCATGTCACCACCTCTCATGCCGATGAGCAATGTATGTTCGCTCTGCTAATATGCAAAAGCTGCTGTTTTAAGGGAAACACTGCTGATGTTTAACAAGGATGTGACAGTCTCTCCAACCCCTGGCTTAGTCAACACTGTCTACATTTTCTGTATTTACAAGGTAGTTTAAATTTCATCCACACCATTAAAATGACTCTAAACATGGGAATCTCCATGAAGTTCACTTTTCTAAATTGCTATCCCACAAATCCCTCCCTAATCAAATGGTAAAGATGCTCACAAGAAGCCACATCATACGGCAGGGTAATCAAGCACCATGGGAACATGCAAAGCACCTGCAGTGAGAATCCTGGAATCTGCAATTAGAGAGTTGGAAAGGGCCTAGACATGATTCCAGCCTCACACCCTTAATTTATACATGAGAAACTACAGTCCAGGAAGAAGAAAGGACTCTGGAGGTAGGACAACTATCATAGGGTGTGGGCAGGATTACATCTGGGTCTTATTTCAATGGCAGCATTCATTCCATGTTATCAGGCTGAATCCACTTCACGGCCAACACAGCTCCATGCACCTGTGGCCTGCCTCTGGGAGTGCCAAGAGGAGCACACCACCACTATCTGCTCCAGGGCAAAGGGGCGTGCCGTCACTCTTGACTCCATCCTGCTATCTGAACACTGGGAAGGATCAGAGTGCAAGCAAACAAAGTTGTTTTAGATAACTTTTTATTGTTTTCAGATTTTTAAGAAAATGGCATGTGTGAGAACAAGGAAAGGGTTAATGCTTTTTTGCACTAGAAATGCTATCACCTAACATGACTGGGGCACAGAGTTAATATCTACGTATGGCACGGGCCAACAGTTAGTTCAACCAAGAATCAACAATGGTTCCTGCCTAATTATTTTGCTTTACTAAAGAATGTACCAGGCTTAACAACAAAACAAAGAGAATAAAGATCAGCCCGCCTCGTATCAGACCACCAATGGGTCTCCCTGGATATAAATAAATGGAAATAAAAATATAAGAAATGGCTTAGCGAATGTGGTCAATTTTAAATGCTAGTTTCAATGTCAGACTGTAATAGTTCATCTACTAATAATTCATGCCAATTCCGAGATGATCATTTCTTCCAGGCTGGAGTGCAGTGACCTCAGCTCACTGCAACCTCTGCCTCCTAGATTCAGGCAATCCTCATGCCTCAGCCTCCCCAGTAGCTGGCATTATAGGCATACACCACCACATCTGGCTAATTTTTTTTTTTTTTTTGAGACCGAGTCTTGCCCTGTTGCCAGGCTGGAGTGCAGTGACGCAATCTCAGCTCACTGCAACCTTCGCCTCCCAGGTTCAAGCGATTCTCCTGCCTCGGCCTCCCGAGTAGCTGAGACTGACTACAGGTGTGTGCCACCACACCCAGCTAATTTTTGTATTTTTAGTAGAGACAGGTTTCACCATGTTGGCCAGGATGGTCTCGATCCCTTGACCTTGTGATCTGCCTGCCTCAGCCTCCCAAAGTGTTGGTGTGAGCCACCATGCCTGGCCTAATTTTGTATTTTTAGTAGAGCCAGGGTTTTGCCATGTTGGCCAGGCTGGTTTCAAACTCCCAGCCTCAAGTGATCTGCCTGCTGGGCCTCCCAAAATTCTGGGATTATAGACGTTCAGCCGCCACACCCAGACAGAGATAATCATTTCACTCTTGTTCCAACTAAAGGGTCACATACATCGACATCATTTTTTGAGTCAACAATTGCTACACAAACTTCAGATAAAATATTTGCATACCCTCTGTACTCACAACCTTCTGTCTGGACACCCCAGGGCGACCTATATAAAATAAGCCACATCCCATTTCCACCACTTCAAAGCCTGTTACTCTCTGCTGCAAGCTGCAGTTTCTTCATCTGTAAAACTGATCTGGAAGGGTTGGAGTACTAATTGAGATAACTAATTGGGAAATCAATCAGCCCACCACCTTCGTAGAGGTGTCTGCTGTGATTGTGACCCAGGTTGGTCACTGTTGGCATGGTTGGCAGAGATGGTTGATCCATCAGACTCTGAATCCTTTTATTTTGGTTCTGACTTGGGTTTAATATCTAAGACATACGGCCAGCTGATACAGGAACATCAGATCCTATGAGCATTTTGACTACAATGTTAAAATTCAGTTGAATAATTAAAATCAATTTTTTCTGTAGCTAACTAAACTTTTTGAAGCACAGTAAAAACAATACAATAAAAGTCTTTCGAAGGAACCCAACCGAAATAGATTTTTTTTAATAGATTTTTTTTTTCACCTTTAAATGTCAAATGTTATTTCTTTCTCAATTTGTTTCAAAGTATAAACTCTGGAAAATATACTTGTGAGTGATGTGATAATAGCATCATGTAGCGAAAAATTTTTAAATGTCAACTTTTGCTTAATTGAAATAGATTAACATTTAAGATACTTTAAACATTAATAGTTTGTAAATAAGGCAGATAAGAAACATACTCTTTGCAACTTCAGAGATATGAATAAAAAATCAAACATGTATTACATATGACTAAAATATATTTGTTTAAAAGTTAATTCATTTGAAATTTGAGAAATCACATTATTAATGTCTTATGTAGAATTATAACCAGTTTCATGGGATACCAACTAAATGAACCATTGTTCTTTAAATATATAGAAATGAAAGAGAATATATTTGGGGCAGGAAATATTTATACTAGCATTTCACTGTCATAACATTCATGGCTTATTATTGAAATAACCTTATCTATAACAGTAAAATAATGTGTGTCTTAAAAATATGCAGTACAGTCTCTTATTCATTATATTCAAAGTTTGCTTTGAGAGTTTTCAGAGCAGACATGAATTCATAGGTGAGCACATGACCACTATGGATAAAAAGGATGGCGAACACAAAGACCTATTCCTGCTTTGTTTTATTAAGGTGGAAAAACGAAGCTTCCAGAAGGATAAGCCAGCTTTTATAGAAATACACAGCCTTCAACAATTCTGCAGAGGCTTACGTCTTCATTTTAGACATAAATAGTAAAATTTACAGCTCTGTGAAGAATGAGGGTGTAGAGAATGGCTTTTGGAAGCCACTGTCCTTCAAATTCTTTTCTGTCTTATCAGTCACGTGACCTTGGGAGAGATCATCATCGTTCTTTGTCAAGTAGAAAAATTATATCTATCTGGCAATCCTGGTAAGAATTAAACTAGTTAATGTAGATAATGTATTTGTAAGATTATAATCATTTATTTTTTACAGCATTCATCAGCAATTTGTGTGTGTGTGTGTTGTGTTCGTGTATAAAAGCTCCCTCTTATTGAAAGACAGTCACTTAAATTTGATGTGGATTCTCTGTCTTTGAGGGCATTCTAGCTAAGTATTATATTAATTAATCAAAAATGAATATTTTCAGATAAAATGATCAGTTTCCATAATATGTTCCTTAGGTATACATGAAAGTGAGTGAAATCTGTGGCTTGGAGTCCACTTACATGCTGGAAATATGTTTCACAAATAATTTAGGAATCAATGACATGAATGAAAAATTTCCAACACTCTACTTTGATTTTTGGAGGTCACATTAGTGAAATCTAACTGTCACAGTTGGTGATGGTGCTCATGTGATATCCTGGTTTGCAAAATGTTAACCTCATGGATGCTTACAGTTGAGTACCCAAAGTGACAGCCATAGCAGAAAAAAATCTGTCAATGTAAGACTCATCAACAATTATTTTTAAGAAGACTGTTAGAAATTTGTTATTTTTCCAAATTTGTCATTTTGTCATTTGTTTTAGTGTATTTTTATCATCAAATCTTCATTTTAAATTGTGAGATACTGAAATGAGTCTCTGAATTTTAAAATAAGCAGTAAGTCTCTACTGTGCATAGGGCCACCACTGTCCTATGCAATTTCACGCATCAATTCAGTTAGTGCTCACAAAGATGTGAGAAAAGCTTGTCTAAAAGAAATAGGTTTTTCGGCAGCTTCAGTTTATTATTAGTTTCCCAAACATTCAAATGTACTACAAGAGATTCTTATTTTAATGTCCTGTTATTATTTTAAGCTGTCTGTGGGTGGGGTAAGAAAGTGTCTGTGAGTCCTTGAGCTCTAATTCAGTTTCCTTAATTGCTAGACTATGCTGATATTGGGCACAAGTTTTAGTCTCTGTAATCTCAGCTTCTTTATGACTAATATGGAAATAATAATAACTGCTTTGCCCAATTATAGCTTGTTGGAAGATGTTTCTGTAAGTGACTTGGAAATTCTAAGGAATTATACAAATGAAAGATATTGTTAAGCTGCTTTCCATAATGCCTGTTAACAAGATTGTTGTTTATAAGTGTTATTTGAAGAAACTGTATTTCTAAGAATAGAGTTTTAATAATATAATTACCATGGCATATGCCCTGATGATATTTTATGAAGCAATTAAAATGTTTCCATAGATTATTAAAAATTAGCATATCATCTTTGTCACTTTAGTATGACTAGTACAATTATATTTATGCAAAAAGTTAATCAGTAAAAAGCAAAATGAAAAATATAAAACAATATTATACGTAAGTGTAAATATGTGTGAACAAAATAATTATAATTTTTCAAAGATATGTACAAATAAAATGTATTAGACTGGGGAAATACGAATCATGTATAAAAAATGATTAATTAATGAATGAACACCAAGGCAAGAGCAGGGCCTTATGCAGACCAGACCGATCATTCCTTAATGATTCCTTGTTGAGGAAGGTGACTAACGGAAACCTTGGCATTTGACGTCTAAAAAACAAAAAAAGTGCCTCCAGCATGTGGACCCAGGTGCCTGCTGAAGAGCTGTTAACCCTTCACTGCTGCCCCCTGGACCCCCTCTGTTCTCAGGATGCTCTTGGATGAAGAAGAGACTGCTGCAGAGTGGGGCCTGGGTCTGCCACAGAGCCCTCCCATGGACA